TATACACCTCATGCTTCTCGGAAACACGTGCTTCGCACATGCATTTTCCTTAGTATTATTATAAAATTAGATGTTCAAGTCATGTACAATCACAACGAAAATGAAGATTGACAGCCTGCAACTGCAAGCTCCCAATAAGCTCTCGCTTGCAGCCGTTAAAGGCATAACAACTTAAATGATAATTACTTTATATTCTTGACGTCAATATAAATACCAGGTTTCCCTTTTTACAATATTTACAAAACTAGCAGAAAATGAGTGAACATGTGAGAAGTCGTAGGCCTTGCACAGCTCCTTCGATAAATAGCACGGCATCGCCAGTACAAGATACATAAGAACAAGCATTACTGCACATAAGAACAACTATTACTGCATGTTAAAGTAAAGACTGCCCATAACATGTAAACATGAAATCATGCAAGGTATAATATCTCAAACATGTAGGACAAGACCTCTAGAATTTAACCCTCAAAAAAAATAAAAAAGACGAGACCTTTGGCATCCCCTATTTTTTGTCATTACGTAAACAGTTGAGAAAGTTCAGTTTCCTCCGCATTATATGCCCATGACAACATTCCTTTGATCAATATAAGTTCTTTTTCTTCTTTTTATAATTTGGGGTACACAGGTAAGTGAGTAGCAGTATTGGCACCCACGACGTTACATTGCTCTTTCACTCTCCTAAGTACTCAGTGACAAAAATTATGTTCCTCAACATTTCTAGGACTAGCATCTGAAAGAATTCAATAAATGCACATGTGGAGGTGAATCTTCATAAACTATTTTATTGCAAAAAAATGGTCCACATTTTGTTAAAGGGACGTTTCAGCATATTAAGATTTCTAAGGTTTCAAATAATTAGGATAAAACTTAGATGATGATTGCCAAATTGTCCTGAACACAAGGGGAATCATGTGGTGCCCAATAATATGTCATTTAAGTGCTTCAAGCCCCATCTGTCCTGGCTAAGGTGCAGGCACTAGGAAAAATCCAAATTTCCGTATCCCTTTCATTTTCTCTATAATTCATAGAGCGAGAGACCACATGTGAAAGCCTCTCATTGGTAGAAGCCCAAGCCTGATCAAGACTTGTGAGTTTGAAAATAACTTGTTTGCTGGTTATAGAGAGCAATTTTTTTTTTTTAATTCGCAAGGACCAGATTCATCCTTTCAAATAGATTTCTTGTTATGTTGCATTAGGGGTTCCACCAGCGTTTTAAAAAACGCCGAGTCGAGCCGGACTCGCCCGGTTCGACTCGAAAATCGCGAAAAGGGACCGGATCGGTTAAAAAATCGAAAATCGTCCGGTTCTAGAGAGAACCGGACGATTCCGCACAGTGACTCGCCGATTCACTGTGCGGAATCGGCGAATCCGTGAAGAACACGGGTTGCACAGTGTTCTTCACGAGATTTTTTGAAATTTGTCATTTTTTGATCATTTTTCTTGTTTTTTTTGGTATGTGATCTGATTTGCAGGCTGTAAACAGCTTTATTCAGCTTTTTCAAGGATTAAATGGTGGAAAAATTTGTTGTTTTTGGATCATGAAAAATTCGGTGTTTAGGGTTTCCGCCTTTTCCGAAATTCATGCCAAATGGCGCATGAATCTTTCAAAATTTGTAGGCATTTTGATCTTATAGCTGTGAATCAAAACCTTTTGTTACTAATTTGTGATAATCGTTGAGAAAAACAGAGTTTTTTGGATATTGAAGGCTTCGGTTCACAAAATCAGGTAAGAACTTTGGGTTTTTTTTTTTTCCGCCATTTGGTTTATTTCACGGCATATTTTGAACATAATGAGTTCAATAATTAGAGTTTTTAATCTTTATTGTGTCTAGTATGATTTAAAATTTTCAATTTTACGTAATCTGGTCAATTACAGCAAGAAATTTGATATGAACACTGAGATGTCTGCGGAAACAAATTCCGCTGTTTTTTTTTTTTTTTTCCGCCTTTTGATTTTGTTTTCATGATATATTAGAAATAATGTGTTAAAAATTTAGGGTTTTGATTCCTTATATTGTTGTTTATCAGAAAATAAACTCAATTGGATGTAATTTATTTACTTAGAGGTGAATTTTTGAGTTAAAATCGCTTATGTAAAACGACTCTGTGAAGAACGGTTAAATTTTTTTTTTTTTTTTTTTTTAGTAGCCCATGATTAGAATTTTTTGTAATCCATGATCGAAATGTTTGTTTTTTTTTCTTTGTAATCCATGA